GATAGATAGATAGATAGATAGATAGATAGATAGATAGATAGATAGATAGATAGATGTACATAGAAGTGAAAAAAGTGCAAAATAAACTGAGTGCAGGGCACAAAAAGATGAGCATTATGTGACTGTTTATGTTCTGTGACTCATATCTAGAAAGAAGATGGCATACTGCATCAGCATGTTAAATGGAAGTGAAGGAAACCAAGAAATAAATACGGCATAAACTAGTGGTTTTTTATTCTAGCTAAATTTTGGTAAATGTTAAGCAAAGGTAGGTAGATAGGTAAAGCTTTATTTTGGTCTTTGACCAACATGACGCAGAGAAAGCTAATGCATCAGCATTGTTTTGGTGGTGAATTTAATCGTTCAGACTCTTCACACTTGAGTAGTTCGATATTGTTAGTTTGTAATGCATGTATTATAATCTACATTGGGCAATTATTTTGGACACAATCATTAATGTGAATCTGTTGTTGTTTGTATCATTATTGATGCATGTTCTTCCAAAAACTTAACTGATATAAATAAATTTATGTAATAAAGTTCCCTGTGGCTTTAGGGTTTAGGGTTCTATTTTTCTGCTCACTGCTATTCATATTCCAACTGGATGAATGCAGTTTCAAATCCTTTTATTATAATCAGAATAAATGCTGGCTCTCTTTTATTGGTCACATGATCAACAAAAAAACTCTGTAACATACATTGTAGAGTAAGGGCAATCATTTATTTGAAATAGTGTAACCATGGACAATTCACGGAATCCTTTTCTACCTGTTGCTAACTTGATCACAATAGAATATAAATGTTTTATGAAGAATTCATCAAGCACCACTGAATGTTTGTATCAGATTTTAGAAGTATTTATTATATACCAAGTAACATTTATTTCCCTTCCTTTGGACAGATTTAAGTTTGCTGAAAATTCTACATGGAAAATCAAACTATAGTAACAGAGTTTATTCTCTTGGGACTATCCAGTGATCCACAAATACAGGTTTTTCTCTTCTTGCTGTTTCTAATAATATATGTTGCTACACTATTTGGGAATGCACTGATCATGCTGGTGGTAAGAACTGATCCCACTCTTCATACCCCCATGTTCTTCCTTCTCAGTCACTTAGCCTTTCTTGATATCTGCTATTCATCTGTTACTCTCCCCAAAATGCTAAAAAGCCTCATAACAAAGCAGAAAACAATTTCCCAGGAAGGCTGCATAGCACAGATTTTCTTTTTTTTCCAGGCTGCTTGTGCTGAAGTATTTATTCTCTCAGCTATGGCTTACGACCGGTATATTGCTATTTGTGATCCATTGCATTACATATCGATCATGAGGAAAGAAATCTGCAGACAGCTGTTAGGTGGAGCTTGGGCTATGGGTTTCTTGTATGGTGTAATGAATTCACTCCCTTTGGTGAAATTGCATTTTTGCAGGAACAATGAAATCAGCCATTATAGCTGTGAAATACCTTCCCTTTTGCTGTTGTCTTGTGATGAGACATTTTCCAATTACATCATACTTCTTGCCTCAAGTTTTCTCTTTGGCTTTGCCTCCTTCCTCCTCACCTTTGTTTCCTACATTTATATTATTGCCACCATCTTGAAGATTCGCTCAGCAGAAGGCAGAAGTAAAGCATTTTCAACCTGCACTTCTCATCTCATTGTTGTAGCTTTATTCTATGTAACTGGTTACTTTCGATATCTCAGACCCAATTCATCTTCATCAGTCATTCTGGATCACCTTTTTTCAATCCAATACAGCATTTCTACACCCATGTTAAACCCAGTTATCTACAGCCTGAAAACCAAGGAGGTGAAGGAAGCCATTAAGAAACTAATGAATCAAAAATTTGGATACCCACATTAATGATGCATTAAGCAAATCAATACATTGTGCAATGTTGAGACCGAAGGAAAGTTCAAAACTGTGATCTTTCATTTTTCATCTCTTTGAAAATACTAGTGGAATCTTCCCAGGTTTTCTAGCTGGGTTGGATTGTACGTGCACGAGATTGGGGAAAGCAATATTAATTCATATCAGTATAGGTTTTATATATCCACTGTATCTATAGTTATTTTTACCATGAATATGTCACTGTTATGTTAGAGAGAGAGGGTATTTTTCATTTGTTTTTTGTTTTTTTGTTTTACTTTTATATTGTCATAGGATTTCATGAACTCTATTGTTATGGACAAGACCATAACAATTTTAAAATATTGTCTTAAATTGTTATATTTTACCAAATAAGGGAAGTATTCCTTCGTTTTTTTGTATTAGCTTCTCTGGGATGACCTTGCCATGAAGGACATTATAGAAATATCTGAAATACATACATGCATACAAAACTCTTTCTGTATTTTGAAGCATTACTTGGTTTCACAAAAGTATCTCGTTTCCTACTTTAGGCTTCTTCTTACATCTTTTAAAATGAATTTGTTTTTGGAATAAGAGAATGCTAAGTACTCATTGCAGCTAACAGTAAACATTGTAATATCTAGTTCCTTCTCAGACTTTGATTTTTTTTTTTTTCCTAAATCCAAATCCATACCCTTCTTACAAAGAAAATTGGTATTATATATTTTATAAACATTAATTGTCTCCTTTGCACTTTTTTCCATATAAAGTTGTTTTTGATTGTAAACACTATAATTGTTGCTGATTCCAAGTCATGAACTTATTCCATACCTTCAGATGATAATAATGATAATAATAACAATAACAATAACAATTTAAGTAATTTATATGATTACCCATCTCATAACAATGACTCTGGGCAGTGTATAATGATTAAAACTAACAAACAATAATATAAACATATTTAAATCAACAATAT